TTCCTTCAATCAATACAATTCTTTGGTTACCATTCTTTTCATTGAGATCCCTATAGTTTCAGTTCTTCAATTGTTCATCGTTCCCATAATCACTACACCATACAATTACAACACTTATGGCAATTTTGACCATGTTGAAGGCTAACCACTGTTATGTTAAGATAAGCAAATGCATTTTCTTTATGAAAATGTGGAGTTCTTAGAGGATTTTATATTTGAAAAGGAGTAGCAATAGAGCCAACTTAAGGTACGAGTAATTAAAGAGTGGCCTAAACTCTAAGATGTCAAGCAATTTGAAATAGAAACAAATGCTTCTAACATAGGAATAGGAGTTGTCCTTATACCAAAACAACAACCAATTGCATTCATTAGCAAGGTTTTAAAAATCTCCAAATGATTAGAATTAACAAAGACCTAAGCAAAATTTAAGAAACTAAAATTGAATGAGAAAATGCAATGCAAGAAATAAAAGAAAGGTGGAGAAGACTTAACAAGAGGAAGATCTCAAGTATGCTGATTTTGGGGGAGGAAAATGCAGCTAAGTGACGGGTATTTATAGAATAAAGGGTGGGTGAATGGTTAAGATTAAGTTCTCAAATTCTATGCAATATAGACCACTCAAAGTCATTAAAACTACTTTATTATCACTATAAGTTTTATTTTTTAATCTAACCTTAAACTAAGTTCATTTAAATTTAATTATATTAAGACAAATAAAGTAGAAAGAAATACAGTTGTTTAATATTTAACAATTTGAAAGAGAATAATTGGTGTGCATTATTTTTGGTCAGAAATAAAAATCAAATTAACATGCTTATCTTGAAATAAGCTGGTTGATTTCATAAGTGTTGTATAAAATATTTTTTAGCTCAAAAAATAAATTAATATATTTTAATTTATATAATATATTTCCAATGATATAAATTATCCTTCCACTTTTATTTAAGCATGAAAAATTATTGAATTTTGCTTATATTTCAATGTGTAGTAGGTTTATAGATGATTTTCGGCACTGTTATAGAAAAATACCAAAAATTCAATTTTAGCAGTTTTTAACATTTTAAGTTAAATTGTGTATTATGAAATTTTGAAATTCAATTTAATTTTGAAGATATAAATTAATAATAAAAAAATAAAACAATTAAATAGTAGTAAAATAAGGTGTTACATCTTGTCAAACTATTATGCCTTTAGAATTAAAATCAACTCAGGCAACTCAGGCCCTTAGTACAGGGGCAGCAATGGAGGAAGGAGAACTCCGACAAAATAACGAGGAATTAATGGATGGCAAATAGCTACGGAGCCACGATTAAGATAGGGCTTGGAATGAAAAGATATTGGGAAATTTGGAAATAAGTTATTAGACAATATTAACCTTTAAATATTTTTAGGATTGATGAACAAATAAAAATTTAATAAATCTTTAAATATAAATTATCTTTAATACATTTAAGAAAAACTCTGTATGCTGACTCAATGTTGTGGGCAATTTAGGTAAACAAATTATTTTTTTTATAAATAATTTTTTAGTGTTAGCAAATATTAGAGTATAACATTAAAAAAATTATAATGTCAAAATAATTTTACTATCTATGTGAAAAATTAATTTTACAATAATTATTATTTCCCTTTGTTACTAAGATATTAACATGTAAAATTAATGTATAATAATTTTATAATATATGACTAACGATCATGCATAGCCATGCAATACACAGAGTTTTGATTTATTTTTATTTTAAAAATTAACTTATGAGTTAAAATAAAAATTATTTGGAAGAAAAAATTAAAAATAAATTAAAATTTGAGGTAAAATTAATTTATGAATATTTACATTTTAAAAATCATTTTTCGTCTAATCTAATTTCTCTAAAAGTTGAAGTTAGTTAGTTTTAATTTAAGCTTAAGTTTGGGTAAATTTTAGAAAAGTCTTTATAAAACGATTAATATAAAAAAAAGTAAGCAAAACTTATTCAATAAGTTAAAATAATTTATAAACTTTAATTTTTTTCAGATGTTTTGAAAAACTCTTTCGTTTAACTTCTTTCAAATTTGAAGAAATAAATTATTTTTAATTTATATGAGAAATTTTATTATTTTTTAAATTAATTTTTTCTTCTGTCTTAAGGACTTCTATGAAAACTCACCTAAATTAGGCATTATTTATCATTGTATAGTGCATGATAAAATATTTATTCAAAATGAGTTATAATTATTACTCTAAAGAGAAAACTAGATTAGAAAAAATTGTTAGAATAAAATTGATTTTAATAACATTAAGATTGGATTGTTAAATGTAATTAGATTGTATCAAAATTAAAATTAGTTATAATTTTCCTTTTATTATGATATGTATTTTTATTAACAACAAAACAAAAATTCATTTTCAAATCATGAAACGTTAAAAAAAAATTATTTGGTACAGGCAGAATATTCATATTCTTAAGGGATAGTTTCCTGTTAGTTTAGAAGTGACTATTTTGAATGTTTGAGTGTGTTTAATTTAGATATTTAAAGTGAATAATTTATTTTTTAAAAGAATTTATAATTTTATGAGTTAAAATTTGTTGAATGGATAAGAATTTTAAAGAATTTAAAATTCTAGAAATTTTGTGAGAATTTTTAATAAATTAAAATCAAATATTTATAAATCCTAACAAAAGAGTAAAATTTTACAATTACCTTTTTTTTGTTTATTGAGTATTCCATTCACATTTTTATTTAATTATGGTTAATTTAACAATTTAAATTTTATATTTTTAATTAATTTTGTCAAATACTGTAAAAGAAATTAAGAATGTAAGTAATTTAATTAACTTATCTAAACAAAAAGATTTAAAATGAAAGAAATTTAGTTACTTTATTCAAACAAAATATTTAAAAATAATAAATTCAAATTTTGTGATTTTTAAATTTTATAAAAATTTCAATTCTTAATTACCTCATTCAAACACAACTATAAAATATGTTTAAAAGATAAGTTTTAAGAATAAAGAGACACATTTTATATTTAAATTAAGAAAGTAATATAAAGTCGTAAGAAATAAATAAAAAATTAATACATTAATGTTAAATTTACATTTTAATTTTATTTTAAAAATTATCAAATAAAGAATATTTATTAAAAATAAAGAATTTATCATTTTCTCTTTTCTATTTTAAAACTCAATTTTCCGAAGTATCTTGATGTGCGGCTATTGACACCCCAACCCTAATTATTTTGCTCTAAATAATCAGTAAATTCTCATATGACAATTCAATACATTTGTCAATTAAAAATCCAATTTATTCATGCATAAATCCAACCTACCCATTTAATTATAAAAATAAAACTGGATGGATGAATTGCATTGAATCACTATTTGTTTTTAATAGATAACTAACCATCCATGATATTTTGTAGTCCATTAGTTAAAGTGATTATTAAAGTCTATTAATTAGACACAAGTCTTTAAAATTAGACCCAATACTTTATACAATGAATTTGTGTAAATAATAAATTTTATTTTTGTAAGAATAATTTTTTTAAAAAAATAAAATATAATAAATTTTTAATGACTAAACATTTATTTTATCCTTGAAATAGTAAGCGTCACACATTTTATTCATTAAAATTTTAAAAATATCACATTAATCTAATTCAAATATTTTAGTCCCTAAACTCATACAACGTTAATAGACAGTTGAGTATAAAAGAAATTTGAATATAGAGGTTGAGAAGAAAGTATTAGGCAAAGGAAAGATAGAGAGAAGATTGAGAGAGAAGATGCAAAATATGCTAAAGTCAACAAAGTTTACTTAAGTTAATTTTGTATAAAATATCTTTTTATTTTTTTTCATTTTTTCTTAAACGAAAATAGAACTAGATGTCTAATTCCTGCCACAATGAAAGAGAATTCGAATCCCACAAGAAACTATCCTTATTGACTAACATTGTGTTCTTTGTTGGTGATAAAGTTGCTGAAGTTGATATCAAGTTAACCAACACAAACACATCAAATATGATGGTGAAACAAGAATATCCTTCTTTGAAGCTACCCATGAATTGATTTTCCTTCAAAAACCTTACACATGCTTAAACAAGATTTAATAAAAAAAGAGTAAGTATAGCAATTGAGAATAAAGCACTTTAATGCGAATAAAAACTAAAAAGATATCAAAATAAAAGTTAAAATTGTTGCCAACAAAAGATACAAACAATGGTAGTTTTTAGTGAGAAAGCATGGACAAATCAAACGTTTTAACTTAGGAAAAATGTTAATTAGTGACAATCTCATTGAGTAAAAGAAAAAATGTTAATTAGTGACAACCTCATTGTGTAAAATGCATGACAAGTAACAATTTAAGGACTAAAATAAAATAATAAAAACATATATCATACTATATAAAATGTCTTTTTGTTACATAATCAATCATACATATCATTTAACATAACATGTTAACATTCTTTTACTATCTATTAATGATATCTAATTATATGTAGTAAAATGTTCAAAGGAAATGAAAGTAAAAGATTAACTTAACATTTTTTAAATTTCAAAATCTAAAAGGAGAGTTTAGTCTATTTTAAATACATGAGCAAGATATCTGCCCATAAAAATGGTTAATGGATGGGTTGGAAGAGTGCAGCAATACTGTCTTAGATCACTTGTTGTAACTACCAAGAAAGATGGTGTAGAGTTTGCCCAACAATCCATGCAAACGTACCAAGGCTTTGAAGAAATTTTCTGCATAAGTATGAAACACTTTTCCATACACAACATAAACGCTATACAACAGGCTGTATATAACAACGGGAAATCTGCCGATCATCGTAATGAAAATGAACTCATTTTCATTTCATCATCATTTATCAAACAGATGTTGCTTTGCATTATATTGAACTAAGAAAATTTTTAATCATAAGTGGCAGTTTTGTAAGATCATTCTCTCATTCACCACCTTTCTTCATTTTCTCTACTTATTCTTCAGTGTCTTTGATTTTATACATGCACATGGAAGGCAAGCTTCACACTTCACAGGCAAGTCATGAATATGTAAGTGTTCATGGAACTACATAGTATTGAATTTGACTAAAATACTGCTATACATCCATCATTGGTCCAGGATATAATTCTCCGAGTACAAACAGGAATAAATGCCAACCTTCTATATAGTCATTAATTTAGTGATTTTAATCAATGTGAATATTATTTTTCATTTGGAATGGAATTTATGGATAAATCAGTTTATCTCAAACTTCACTTACCCATTCACTATCACAATGACCTCAAATGAACTGAATTAATTATATTGCAAGTATGATTTACCAAAATCTTCAGCTTCTCTCTGTGCTCTGCAGAAGCTATGTTCAAAATAGCATCCGCCAAGGTTTCTCAATAGAAGTTATTTGGTTTTCCAATTTTAATGTTCTGCTCTGCAAGGAACCCTGTTATGGCATTCTTCTGCCAGCCCTTGAAACTCCTGCAATAAAGCACTAGTTTAGGGTAGACATTAACTTGAGTGAAAAAAATGATATACATGCGATGTCAAAGCCAGGGTCACCTTGGCACAGCTAAAATAGTCAGTTACAATACAGCAGGTTGCAAATTTTGTTATCCAAACGTTAACCTAGATTTCTTAATTTTCAACATATGCCCATAACATGCCTTCTTCCTTCATACAGAACCACAAGTGAAATAAACAACAGCCACATAGGAAACAAGAAAAGTACTCATAAGAATGTCACTTTCTATCAAGGAGGAAGTTCTCAGAAGAACATCACTTTTTTAGTATTCAAGACATGTATCTGGCTAAGAAACAAGGTCCATATGACGACAGCATACCCTGTAAGATACAACAATTCCTTTTGACATGATACATAATCTCCACAAAACAGTGTTTATAATTTTTCATCCTAGTAAAGAAAACCCTCATTGTAGATTCCTTTTAACTTAGGCTAGTCCCTGGACAATTTTTCATGTGTTAATTAGTTGTAAACAAATTACTAATATGCAAGCCCACTGGCAAAAATGTGTCAGCAGTTGATGTGATGAGGCATGTACATTACTACTAATTTGGAAACTTGGCAATCCTTGGGCTAGTCCCCTCACTGCAAGGAGTGTAGATCACAATTAATTATAGAACACGGCAACCATTGGGAGGAACATGTTGGTTCTGCAAGATACTTGCTCTCCCACTGATATTTTTGGTCAGTGGGGAATGCAGGCCTTTATTAGCCCCATAGTAGAATGTCCAAGATTTTCCATTTGGTATAAGAACTAGCGGATGGGACGATGGGAAAGGATTTATCCCTCTTATCCCACTTTTCCCATGTTCTACCGTTTTTCTTTACAATTTATTCTGATGAAGCACTGCAAGATTATGGCAGGTGGAAAGCCTTAAACAAATTGTGGTCAGCTGACAGTAATCTTTGCAACAGCGTTGAATTTCACACAGTAAGGTTTTTCAAACTTATATGCCTTGCAGATGATATATTAATGATCTGTTTAGTACTCAACCATTAAATAGCATTTGGTTCATGCTTTGGCATTTGCTTACAAACAGATTGTTGATTTCAGAAGGATAATTTTGCTCATTAAACTCACTTGTGGTCAAGATGTGCAAGAATTTCTCCACCAGGAAAGGCAGATTTAGTGGCCTCATATGCAGCTTTTATAGATTCTCTCCATGTTCCACCAATCTCTACATTATTTTCTCCTTTTGACTGGTTTGGATCTTCCATTGGCAGTGAATATCCAGAAAGTAGGTGACCCACCCATACATCCTCTTTCCTAGATTGTAAGAGCAAAGTAAGTACATCCATATTTCATTTGAGCAAGATACATCGGAGAAAATATAATACACATAAAATGTTTAGAATTTTAAATCCAAAGTCACCCTTTGTAAGCTGATATATGAGATCAAGTTTGAGAGAAGTTGTAAATTTGACAGTGCTTGTAAATACAGGCAGTTTAATTACACAGTGAAGAAATTTAAGGAAGCAAGGTTTCTAAGCATTTTCACAATCATAAAGTTTTAGGTAAATATCTTCTCAAATGGTTTTGGTAGAAGTTTACTCGAAGTCAAGACGAATCATGAAACAAGTTTAAAGTAGACAAAATAAAAAAACAATAATAATTTTAAACAAGCCAGTTAAGAGCCTTAGCATAGGACCTAGTCACAGATCTAGACACCTATAGTGAATCTGAATTTTAGGGAAGCAGACTTATCCTTGATAGAGCCTCCTCTTAGGTAACTAATTCTGAGAGTACTTACTTATTTTTATTGAAAACTGACAGTCTCTTTTTAAAGACTGCTAATACAAAGGAAAGAAATCCTAAATGATATGATCTTAGCTAATAAAAGGAAGCAGATCATAAATCATGATAAGAAATCCTAAATGATATGATCCTAGCTAATAAAAAGGAAACAGATCCTAAATCCTAAATGATATGAAAAACAGATCCATGATATGATCAACTATGGAGATTTAACATATAAAGGAAACAAATGAAAATCTAATTATGTTGCATCTGCTGCTTTGCTTTTTTGATATTTTCAAGCCTCAAATGCACCAACATCAAAGCTTTTCACTAATGCAATTTATTACCATAATCTATTTGAATGTGCAATTTATAGCCTTTCTTCTGGGTGGAATTGAAGTTGATAATGGAATTTGATGGATAATGAAAATTGTAGAAATCAAAAGATTAATGTGATCAAAATTGCTAAATTTTACTTACTATTTTCAATATAAATGAATAATGGGAGTAAATTTCAATAATTGAAACCTTAAAAGGCAAACACAGCCCAAATCTCGGGAGCAAATTGCTAAGTACTGAATAGTTCTAGCCTTTATTTGACATAATGAAAAAAAATCAGTTATAAATTTGTAAAGGCAAGGCACTCTTAACAATGAATGGTTGACTACTTACAATACTACGTCCATATGCCGAGGTGCATAATGTCCACCACCTATCCCAAGAAGGACTTTCTTTTTATCATTCTCCCTGTAAGAACATGAGATTTAGATTCACATTCGAAAGATTTAGATTCAGGTTAGAAAATTTTCACCAATTATAGAAGGAACTTCTAATGATCAAAAGGAAACAAACCTTAAACTTAAAAATTAGTCCATAATTATGCAATGTCAACAAAAGCAATTTAAGTGTCCAGATGATACATAATTCACCAAGTTCAGAATTGTAAAATCAAAGGACCATAGATTAAACATATATTGCAATTCGTAAAACAGAATGAGAGCAAAACATGACACCTCACATATGTTACGACCCAAAATAGTTAAGGAATTCTGGTCTAACAACCATATAAGAGCCCCACGATCTGGAGAGTTTATACTAGGAGAAATAGAAGAAAAGAAGGGATCAATGATGAGTTGACACACAAAAGTTGTTGTTTTTTCTTTTTTCCCCATATAGGGAGGGGCGTGTGTTAGAGAAAGGGTATTGAGGAATATCTTTTGGGTAGTTATGGATGGAGAGCAATAGCTCTCTCTGGGAGCCAAACTCTAGGCAGTAGTGATTGTATCCCTACTGATTTCTCAACTTCTCAACAATACAAACTCAATATATTGCTCACGTCTTTTTCATTATTGTTCTTAATTTCTTTACTGTTGGATTCAGTTTGTAATAAACTGATCCAACCTGCCAAATAGCTTTGAGGGTGAATGCCACCAAAGAAGGAAATGAAAGGAAAGAACATAGATATCATGAAGGGCAGAATGACAGTGATTGAAGGAGAAATTGTTGGATTGAAATCAGCGATAGAGGCTCTGAGCTTACATACAGAGGAGAACGAAGCGAGACTGATAGCACTTCTTACCAAAATTCCAACAAAATCGTCAAGGGAGAAAAATTCAAATGCTGAAGGATTAGGGTTTAAGAAGTTGCAAGGAGACGTTCTTGATGAATTCTGCCAATCAATGAAGAAAGTGGAGTTACCCATCTGGATAGATCGCTCGTGCAGTGATCTACATTTGTGTGATGGAGATGAGTCCTGAAATCCAGGCGAACTTAGCACAGTTGTGCATGGCCTCCCACAACCCATTTATTTACTTCTCTGATTGCTGCCAAACCTAATTTAACATGGGAGCAATTTAAGACTGTGTTGCTTGAATGTTATGGAGGGGCGGGAGATGGCAACGGTTATGATCAGCTTATGGCACTACAGCAAACAGGAAGTGTAGATGAATACGTAGAAAAATTTGAGAGGCTGATGGCTCCAGCCATGCACTTGCCAGGTAACCAATATTTTGGGTATTTCATCCATGGCTTGAGGGATGATGTCCGAGGGAGGGTGCAAAGCATGCAAGCTATAGGTCCTTTATCAAACCTACAGTTTGATGAACTTGGCAAGGGTGATTGAGAATGAAATGCATGGAAAAAACCAATTCCAAACAGGTGTGAAGCAATTTGGAGGAAAAAGGAATTTTAGGTCATCCCAAACCAGGTCATCTAACCAAGAAAGCCCAAGTTTAGCCTATGTGAAGGACAAGGACCTGTGAATGTCAGGCCTTATCAATATCCTTACCACCACAAAGTGGAAATTGAAAAGCAAGTAAGGGATATGTTGGATTCTAGGATTATAAGGCAAAGTAACAATGCTTTCTCCAAGCTTGTAATCTTAGTAAAACAAAAAAAAGATTGCCCATGGAAGATATGTGTTGATTACAAACAAGGAAAGAGTGCCTGACAAATTTCTGATGCCAATGATAGATGAGTTATTGGATGAATTAGATGGGGCTTCATTTTTCTCAAAACTGGATATGAAATCTAGATACCACCAATTACAGTCAAAGAGGAGGGCACCCACAAAACTGCGTTCAGGACTCACAAAGGGTGTATCTTGTAATGCCTTTCGGTTTAATAAATGCTCCTTCTACATTTCAAGCATGGGTGAACAAGATTTTTAGGCCTTTGCTCAGGAGATTTCTACTCTTATTTTTTTATGATATTATGGTGTATAGCCTAGATAAGGATACACATCTGCTGAACTTGAAGACACTTACGGACATTCTGCAACAGCATCATTTGGTGGCAAATAAGAAGTGCTCTTTTGCTCAAGCCATGGATCCAGCAAAAATCCAATGTGTCCTCCAGTGGCCTAAACCAAAAATTGTCAAGGGAGTCCAAGGTATTTTGGGTTTGACTGGTTACTACCGCAAGTTTATTCAAAATTATGGCAAGATAGCAAGGCCTTTAACTAAGCTTACCAAGAAGGATGGTTTCCATTAGGACCCCAATGCCCAAGTTGCTTTTGAACTTGTTAGAATCTATTAGAATCTTATAAATGCAGTAACTGTACATTTTCTAATTATGTATTCTTTTCTATAAATTTGAATAACTCTGTTGTGCCCTAAAACACACGGATTCAATATTTTCTCTCTCAACATGGTATCTAGAGCCTAGAGAGGCAACCATAATCCATTTTTTTTTCCTGGTGGACTCTGTTCACCGGTGCAATTTTTTTCCAATGCTGCCACCACCGTCCGCCACCATCTGACCTTCGATCACTACGGAAACACCGCCATTGTGGTCGCCTTAGTCAGATCGGTTGAACCCTGCTAACCGCGCCTTCATCGGAGTTCTCATGCGCCCCAAGCGCCGCCCTCTCTGCTGTCAATTTTCTCACGCACCACATTCTCCCTTCGAGCTTGACAGCGCATCTGGCGTCTCTTCCTGACGCTGTTGATTGGGGTTTGCTCACCCCTCTCTCCTCTACCTGTATCTGGTCTCAATTAATTGTTTGGACATCTATTCGCCCTTTTTTGCTGCTGTTTAGGCATTTTCTCTCTCTACTCGCTGACAAATGGCTGCCTCCAGCACTCTAAAAGCTAACACTCAGATTTTTACCAGCCATGTCACTGCACCTCTCTCTTCTGAGCAGTTGGATGGTAAACACTACTCCTCTTGGACTTCTCACATTTAACTTTGGCTTGTTGGACAGAGTTATGAGACACATCTCACCCAAACAGTAGACAATGTCCTGGAGGCTGACCGTCGTTTGAGGAAAAAGATTGACGCTCAACTATGCTGTATCATCTAAGCCACCATTCACCCATCTCTTCGTGATGTCTTTTGCACTCACAAAACCTGCAAAATTGTTTGTACACAGGCCTAACAACTCTTTACAAACAATTCTTGGCGACTCTACCAAGTTTGTGAAGACCTCGTGACTATCCTTAGTGCCCATCAGATTAAGGATTCTATGTCAACCTATCTTGGCTCAGTATCTAGCCTTCTTTGTGAGTTCAATGAATTGCTTCCTCCCGCTACCACTCTAGATGCAGAACTTGACAATTGTAAGATGTTTTTCATGTCTTTGGCTCTATATGGTCTGCCCCCAAAATATTCTCATGTTCGTGATCAGATCCTAGGGAGTCTCACAGAGGCTACTATGGACAGTACCTAGGTGACCCTCCTTCGTGTCCCCTCCAAAACCTCCTCTAAGCCTTTGCTTCCTACTCTTATTGACTCTTCGGCTTTGGTTTCTCGCAACACCAACCGACCTCCACAATGAAAGGGCAACAAAGGACGCTCCTGGTGTGATCATTGCCACCAACTGGGACACACAATAAGTGCTGGACTCTACATGGTCGACCTCCTCGCACTGCCCTGGTGGCTCAAAATTCTGTGTCTCCTTCATCCACTTCTGCTCCGCCGTTGGCTTCAGATCCACATTCATCCCCTTCATGTGACAATTTTTTGAAATGGTATGACGATCGTCAGGCCTCCAGCTCCACTACTGCTGTTTCACACACTGGTAATTCCTTCATTGGTCTCTCTCACTCTTCAGGCCCTTGGGTCCTTGACTCTAGAGCCACCGATCACATCACTGGTAATAAATCCTTTTTTTCTTCTCTTTCTACTTTTGGTTATTTACCTTTTGTTACCATGGCAAATGGCTCTCAAACTCAGTTCCAAGGTGTTGGTGTTGTTCATCCTCTTCTCTTTCTATTCACAATGTCCTTTATGTCCCCGGTGCTCCCTTTAATTTATTATCCACTAGTCAACTTACCCGATCTCTTGATTGTATCATCTCTTTTACCAAAAATTTGTTTCCTTGCAGGACTGGAGTACGGGGAGGACGATTGGCTCCGGATGTGAGTCCCATGGTCTCTATCAGCTCAACAAGCCCTCTCTTGTTGGTTCGGCAGCAACATCTCCACTTCTGATTTATGCTCGATTAGGACATCCATGTCTTGATAAGTTGAAACAGCTATACCCTAGTCTTTCTAAGTTAGAATCTTTGTCTTGTAAGTCATGTCAATTAGACAAACATGTTCGTAATTCTTTTTCTAGTCACACTATGAGTCGGGTTTCATCCCCTTTTGTTTTAGTTCATTCAAATATTTGGGATCCAAGTCATATTTCTCCTACATTAGGGTCAAAATATTTTGTTACTTTTATAGACAATTTTTCTCGTCGTACTTGGTTATATTTAATGAAAGAACGTTCAGAAATTTTTTCAATTTTTCAGTCTTTCTTTTATGAAATAAAAAATCAATTTGGTATCCCTACTCACACTTTACAAAATGATAATGCACATGAGTATCTGTCTACTCAGTTTCAAACCTTTATGGCATCTCATGGTGTGTTACATCAAACATCTTGTTCTTATACCCCTAATAGAATGGAGTTGCAGAACGCAAAAATAGGCATCTACTTGAGACCACCCGGACTCTTCTTCACCACTCTCATGTTCCTCATCAATTTTGGGGTAATGCGGTACTTACTGCGTGTTATCTCATTAACCGCATGTCTTCCTCTATTTTACAGGGTAAAATTCCTCATCAAGTTCTATACTCCCACCACTCTCTTCATCCTTTACCACCTTAGGTCTTTGGTTTTACATGTTTTGCTCATGCTCTTGGTCCTAGCATTGACAAGCTCTCTCCTCAGTCTTATAAGTGTGTTTTTCTCAGATACTCACAATCTCAAAAAGGATACAAGTGCTATTCCCCTACTTTTTGCAGGTATTTCATCTCTGCTAATATTACTTTCTTTGAGTCCATTCCATTCTTTGAGCTTAGAACATCTACATCCGAGTCTTCCCTGTCCATGGCTGCCCCTGTTTCAATCCTTTTCTGTCCTCCAGAGGAGTCTCCATCCCCTCCACACCCATCTCCACCTTTGTAGGTATATTAGCGTCGTACTCGCCCTATATTGCAACCACCGAGCACTACCAACACCATGGACTCACCTCTGGAGCCACCTCTTTCGACTCATCTTCCGGTCCTGCCCTCTGAACCTGACATTCCCATTGCCCTTCGAAAAGGTATACGTTCTACTCGTAATCCTTCTCATATTTCTTCAAGTTATCATCGTCTTTCTCCTTCCTATTATTCTTGCCTTTCTTCCTTGTCCTCTGTTTCTATTCCTAAGAGTGCAGGTGATGCATTTGCCCATCCAAGATGACAACAAGCTATGTTAGACGAGATGTGTGCATTACAAAACAGTGGAACTTGGGACCTCGTTCCTCTATGACCAGGGAAGTCAGTTGTTGGTTGTCGATGGGTGTATATGGTCAAGGTTGGTCCAGACGGCAAGGTTGACCGGCTTAAGGCCCGTCTCGTTGCCAAAGGCTACACTCAAATCTTCGGATTGAACTATGGCAAAACTTTCTCTCCCGTGGCCAAATTGCCCTCTATACGACTATTCCTATCCATTGCTGCCACACGTCATTGGCCTCTCTATCAGTTAGATATCAGGAATGTTTTTACATGGTTGCTCAGGGGGAGTCTTCTGGTCTTGTATGTTGACTGCGAAAATCTTTATATGGCCTCAAGCAGTCACCCAGAGCATGGTTCAGCAGATTCTGTCTTCTATTGTCACTCACCTACCGGTTGTATCTACCTAGTTGTTTATGTTGATGACATTGTCATCACAGGTAGTGATCATCGTGGCATCACACAGGTAAAGCAGCATCTCTTCAAACATTTCAGACAAAGGATCTTGGCAAATTCAAATATTTTTTGGGAATAGAAGTAGCACAGTCCAAAAATGGGATCATTATTTCCCAAAGGAAGTATGCAATGGATATTCTAGAAGAAATAGGAATGTTAACTTCCAAGCCAATCGACACTCCCATGGATCCCAATGTCAAGCTCCTGCCAAATCAAGGGGAGCCTCTTCTAGATCCTGAAAGATACAAACGATTAGTAGGGAAGCTAAACTACCTCACTTTTACCTGTCCAGATATTTCATTCGCAGTGAGCGTAGTAAGTCAATTCCTCAACTCTCCATGTAAGGAACATTGGGATGCAATGACTCACATTGTTCGATACATCGAACAAGCTCTAAGAAAGGGTCTTTTGTATGAAGATAAAGGACATACTCGAGTTGTGGGATATTCTAATGCAGATTGGGCAAGATCTCCCATAGATAGAAGGTCCACCTCTGGATTCTGTATATTTGTTGGAGATAACCTTGTCTCTTGAAAAAGTAAGAAGCAAAATGTTGTAGTCCAGTCCACTGCGGAAGCGGAGTATCGAGCTATAGCTATAACGAGTCAAGAGCTTATATGGCTCAAACAGTTGCTTCAAGAACTAAAGTTCGAAGAGGTCACACATATGTCACTTATATGTGATAATCAAGTCACCATGCACATTGTCTCAAATTCAGTATTCGATGAAAGAACAAAGCACATTGAAATTGATTGCCACTTTGTCAGAGAGAAAGTCATGTCCAGGGAAATATCTATTAGTTTTGTCAATTCCCATGATCAACTAGCAGACATATTTACTAAGTCACTAAGGGCCCTCGGATTAACTACATATGTAACAAGCTTGGTACATATGACCTATATGCTCCAGCTTGAGGGGGAGTGTTAGAATCTATTAGAATCTATTAAAATCTTGTAAATACAGTAACTGCATATTTTGTAATTATGTACTCTTTCCTATAAATTTGAATAACTCCGCTATGCCCTAAAACACACGGATTCAATATTTTCTCTCACAACAGAACTATTGAAGCAGAAATTGACAACAACACCACTATTAGCTCTTCCAAATTTCTCTCAATCTTTTAGCATTGAATGTAAAGCATTAGGCCAAGGAATAGGGGCGATCTTGACGCAGGGCAAGCATCCTATAGCTTTTTTCAGCACAGCTTTAAGTAAACGCAACCTGTCCAAGTCTGCATATGAGAAAGATTTGATGGCTACAAGGTTGGCTATTTAGCATTAATCCATACAATGGAAGACAGTTCACAGTGTTGCAGATCAAAAGAGTATGGGTCAATTGTTTCAGCAATGGATATTCACTATGAATCAACAAAGGGGCTTATGCACTTCTCGCATGTATGAAACAGGTGAATTATCTTCTCTCATTTCCTATCCTATATGGGAAGACAGGGAGAAAGTAATGGAAGTTCGAACTGATGATGTTTATCTAAAATTATTGCTGATTTGCAAAAGGATAATACATCCAAACCTAGGTGCACTTATGAGAATAGAATTTTTCTCTATAATGGTCGTTTCGTGCTACCTTCCACATCTCCTTGGATTCCTAAATTGTTAAAGGAATTTCATGCCTCTCCCCATGGTGGGCATTCTGGTTTTGATAAAACATATAGAAGGCTTGCTGCCAACCCTTATTGGATTGGGATGACAAAGGTGGTTCAGGATTTTGTCCAAAAATGTGATGTCTGCCAACAAATGAAGTGCACGGCCATGTCACCTGGTGGTTTTTTGCAGCCTTTAAACATTCCAGAGCAGGTTTGGGAAGTGGTCTCGATGGACTTCGTCACTGGGTTGCCTAAATCACATGGGTATAATGCCATTTTTGTTGTGGTGGATCGAATCTCAAAGTACACTCATTTTATCACCTTGAAGCACCACTTCTCTACTAGGTTTGTGGCAGAGATGTTTATGAAAGAAGTGGTGAGGCTACATGGTGTTCCTCTTTCCATTGTAAGCGACCGCAACCCTATCTTCATTAGTAAATTTTGGCAAGAGATATTTAAGTTGCAAGGTACTCGACTCAAGATGAGTTTGCTTAGCATCCTAAGATGGATGGTCAGACGGAGGTCCTAAACCAATGTCTAGAAACTTATCTGTGTTGTTTTTTTGTGTATCAACTTAAGACTTGGGTTCAGTCGTTGCATTGGGCAGAATATTGGTATAATACCAATTTCCATGAAATGATAGGAATGACACCCTTTGAAGTTGTCTATGGGAGGAAGCCTCTGTGGTTAGTTCATTTCCTCCACGGTGAGACAAATGTAGCTGTACAGCATGAGTTGCTTGACAAAGATGAGGCTCTTAGGCAGCTCAAATACCATTTAATACACACTCAAGATAGATTAAAGAACACTGACAAGAAAAGGAAGGAGAGAAATTTTGAGGTTGGTGGGTGGATGTTTCTCAAGCCAAATTTCTGTTGCTACCCGTATTAATGTCAAACTTTCAGCTCAACATTATGATCCTTTCAAGGTGTTGGACAGCATAGGAGCTGTAGCTTATGAGCTGCAACTTCCTGAAACTTCAAGGATCCATCCTATGTTGCATGTCTCACTACTCAAGAAGGCTGTGCGTGATTACAAGATTCAATAAGATTTACCACTGGGTTTGGAAGGTGAGTATATAGTGGTGTTGGAACCGTGGGCTGTGTAAGCTTCCCGTCTTATAACCAAAGGCAGAGAAATGATTGCTTGGATGTTAATTCACTAGAAGGGAAAGTCAGTTGATGAAGCCACTGGGGAGGATGAACCTACTCACTGCAATCAGTTTTCAAGCTTCAGCCTAGAGGACAAGGCTGGAAATCAAGAGGAGGGCAGTGTTACGGCCCAAAATAGTCAAGAAAGAATTCTGGTCCAGCAACCCACAATCTGAAGAGTTTATACTAGGAGAAATAGAAGAAAGGAAGGAATCAGTGATGAGTTGACACACAGAGAAGGCAGTAGGGAGGGTTAGTTATGACGAGGTGTTTTTTTTTTTCCATATAGGGAGGGGCGTCTGTAGGGAGAGGATATTGAGGAATATCTTTTGGGTAGTTATGGATGGAGAGCAATAACTCTCTATAGGAGCCAGGCTCTAGGCAGTAGTGATTGTATCCCTACTGATTTCTCAACTTTTCAATAATACAAACTCAGTAAATTCCATGTCTTTTTCATTGTTGTTCTTAATTTCTTTACTGTTGGAATAATTTTTGTAACAATGTCTATACCAAACACAAAATGAGTACGCCACCTAACATTGCTGCATTTGTTTAACATCTTAGCTTAATCATTCTACCTGCTCCAGTTTCCTACATCTGTCCCACCTCCAAGTCCAAGTCCTTCCCAAACTAACTGCAAGAACCGATACAAAATACAATTTCAGTATAGAAAATAAAATATTACTCACCAGCTGCCAGTTAAAGCTTTTATTCTGGTACAGATAGTTAGAGGCGCAATTTTATAGTCAGGAGAAATTTTGTTAAAGAATGTAATCTCCATACAGGGAAATTCCAGATATTGATGGAAAAGTTATGAAAAAATTTTTGAAGTTCACTGTACCTGTGCCATAACTTGAGCAGCATCCTGCCTCTTCCAATAGTCTTCAGTACTACCTTTACCAGAACAGAAAACATGTGGTATTAAAGTTCAATTTTTTTCTAACTGCTAGCAGCTTCTAATGTACTTCAAGAATGAACTAGAAAAAAGTGATAAGGTAGGATAAAAATTAATATCAAGCCTAACTTGGTTACAACCAAGGCTTGATTTAGCTAACAGAAAAAGATGTATGACGTTGGGGAAGAGGGGAAGGGTGAGGAAGGACCAACCCCTGTACAATCCCAAAGAAAAAAAAAATCAATAAAAAATTGAGAACCAAAATGTATACATCAACCCGGGAGAATGGAAATACTTCAAAATTGTGTTCTTGAACACCTTCAGACATTCTGGACTTTCCTGATACAAGAAAAGATACTCTTCATACTCAAATGAAGAATAAAATTAACATAACATTGCTGATTAGCAAGCTCCATTTGATTTCTCTCTTGTCATACAATATTTCGTTTTTCCATGGAAAAGATGGAACATTCATTGCAATTAACTAGAACTTTCAAAAGGGAGAAAATAAATATGAATGTACCAGGAGATTGATTAAAATGAAAACTGACTTGATCTGGAAACCAAACAATGGAGGATGGAAAGACAGAACAGCATTTTTGTAGTACTTCAGAGATAGACTATGCAATATGTTTGTTATATATGTATGATATATAAAATCCATCATCCAGAAAGATGTCTAGGACTTAAGGAAAAAGTTCTCACCAATCTCCAGAAACATGGTTGGCTTATTTGTCAATGGTCCATGGTGAGTTGCCTCCAAAGTAATCTAAATTGGGGAAACAGATCAAATTCTGCCAGAATTGCTTTCCAAAATTCGACACACACACTTAGAAAACACAAAACATTAAATCATCTTCCACCAACATGAAACAAGCAATGTTTTTGCAGGAATGTCGAATCTAAAGCGCAAATGGCAAAGATAAAACTAGAAAAGCAAAAGCAGTTTAAATTCTAGAATTCCAATGACAATAATAAAAGATACCTCAAATTCAGGGATGAGATTATGAGCCTGAGCAATATTTTTCAAAAGCCGAAGCCAAGGCCCAATCCTAGGATTTGGTAGCGCTGCCCAGCCAGGCCTCCCACCCTGGGGTGGAACATCACCTTCACGCAAATGAGGAACACCTGCACAATCATTACATTACAAAATACACCATTTTTCACCTAAACGAGAAAAAGTGAAAATTACCAATGGGGTGAACGGTGAGGGCAGGTTTGTTAGAAACAGCAGTGTGCTTGCTGAAGAAGATGACCTCATCAACAGCCTCACCAGTCACCTCTTCCCACCTCTTGTCCAAGTCATCCTCCACCACTATGCTCTTCCCATGTAGCAACACCCTCAAACCTTCATTCACAAAGCTCTTCATATCATCCTAATGGACCCACACAGCAAAGAGAATGATATAATCAAAAGAGCAAAAGGGGCATAATCATAATGGGTAACCAAAAGGGACGATTAATTGAACCTGGAAATGAGGTCCTGTTTGCCACCCTGGCATGGCCAATAGGGCATTGGCCGGGTTGATGGAAGCTGGGTCGGACGTGGTTGCCACCAGAAGAGCCACCATTGCTTCTTTCTGTAGGAGATGTTGATTGTGTCTGTTTCTTTGATTTGGGGACGAAGAAGAGGTATTTATCGGAGAAAGAAGGGAAATTGGCTTTGGAGACGTGAGCCCACGGTTTAGTTGGAACAACGGAAAGGGAAGGTAGGGGTGACTGCCGCCTCTTAACGTTTGTTGGAGTCTGGCACTGCAGGGCTCGATCATACCAAGTAACATGCTCTGCATCAAGCCTCGTGCCTAAGAATTTTCCTTGATCGCGGGTCACATGTTCAACATTTATAATTTTAATTTTATAAAAAAATTGTTTTTAAAAATTTTAAATACTATTCTACTTCCTTAAAAAAAAAACTCTATTTTTTTTACTTAGTCCTGCTGAAAACAAGTTTGTAAATCAATTAATAAAAAATTAAAATAGTTTTAATGTTATTCTTTTATAAAATTATTATATTATATTAATATAGTTTTTGTTTTTGATTTTAATATATAATATATTTTTTCATCGTAATATTTTAGTCCTTATAAAAAATTCAATTAAAGGAATCAAAATTAAAATAGTGTTTCACAAGATATTAAAACAAAAGAAAATTATATACATATAAGTGTTTTATTATGAGCTTAACTTCTTTACCTAATTTTATTTTTTAAAATAGATAAAGACATTGGATTAATGCTAACTCCTAAATTACACAATGTTTTATCTATTAACATATTACTTATTATGCACGAGACAATGAAATCATGAGATCTTGTAACTTTGGTGACAATTTTTTCTATAATATAGCACTACACTCCTTAGTAAATACAATAGTTTCATACTTTTGTAACTTTCTTTTCTTATTTAACAATTTCTTCATAAATTTTTTATAAATATGCATTTGTTCTAGAACTTATACAAAAGGATGTTAATTTGTATCTTTTTAAAATTTCGTATATTATAAATCATTTTTCTTTGCTTTAAAGATTGAGGATATGGAATCTTGACATAAGGAGGTATTTTCTGATTTTTGTGTTTTAGTATTGTTTCTTTGTCATTTTGAAAGGTGAGCATGGAACTATCGATTTTCTTTTTCTTCCCTTTTCTTATATTCTTCCTTAACTATCCTCTCTTCTTAACTTGGTTCCTTCTTTTAAGCATTGTCTTGTTGATTCTCTTGAATTTTATCTTCTTTCTTCTTAGGTAGTTTGTTATATAATTGTTTTTCATTTCTCAAAATAATGGCATTATATTTCTCTTTGCAATTTACCCCTGAATTGGTTGAGATAAGTCTCAATGTTCCTGATCGAGGTTTCATGATTTTTGAATATCGTCTTGGTCTCAATCATAAATAAAGAAGTCTTAATTGTTAATTTTTCTAATGCAGTTTTCCAAGTTGAAAATTGGTATAGATTGTTTTTGATTCTGATGGTAAGACAATTTATAGTTTGATTGACCTTCCTTGTTTTTGCTTGAATTTTTTCCTTGGGCCTTACTTCCCCAAGAAAAAATTAGATTATTTCTCCAATTTGAGTTGTAAGTTCCTTAGTATTACCAATTTGATTGCCCTATTGTGTGAACTTGCTCCTCATAATGGTGATTCTCTTGACATTCACCATTTGCACAGTTTTCTCTGCAAAAACAAGAAAAAAAACACACATTTCAATTGTGGCACATTCACCTATATATTAGAGAATAGTTAAGTTAAAGTAGCTAGTTGATGTTGTGTAATCAATTAATTACTCCCATTCTATTTTGCATATCATATTAAACATTCATGTTGCTAGTGAGACATCTCTCGTGAATGATCTCATTTAATACAAAACTTTAATTTACATCATAATGAGTACTAAACAAACTATATACATTACATCACTCTAAAGGTTCTACATTATTTAAAATTCAAGGTCATTCATAGAATGTTAAAATTTTTCCTAGGTCCTACAATTATAATTATGATAAAAATAAAAAAGAAAGATGGAACTTCTAAAGAAAACTTATGTTAGCAAACCTATTTACATATTATATACATTATTCATGAGAATTCACTACTCATTCTAGTCGTCATTTCCTGACAAGGGAAGATGTACCTATTAACTGTCTAAATTACAGGCACAAAACTCTCAATCTTCAATTCAAAATTAAAGAAATGAATAATTAATTATTGAGAAAATATCAATAAAAGACATTATAATGCATGATTAACTATTTGCTTGATCGAATATGTTTGCCTATTCATTAAGTAATTAGTATTGCCTTGTGATATGATTTATGAATGTCTATACTCATCACTTCCTTGCTTTGTGTCCTTTTTTTTATTTAGCATGATTATTTCTTTGCAACTGTACACTACCACTCTCCCTTACCTGATTTTAGCTTGATTTTGCTAGTGATTTATTTTGTTTTCCTTTCCACCTGCCTAAATCTCCTTTGAAACTTAAAATACTCCTCTTTGAATCCACAAAAGCTCCCCTAAGATAGGTGTGATGAATGTAACATCCTTTTTTTCATTATTCGCTAAATTACATTTTGTTTAATATTAAGTGTAACAGTCCACCAACTTATTCTAGATTGATGACTGTCCCTACAAACTAACACAAGACTTTTCAGCGTGCTTTGTTCTCACTCACACATTTCTCAGAAACTTCCCAGAAGGTCACTTATCCCATAATTTTCCTAAGTTAAGCAAGCTTAACTTAGGAGTTCTTAAGTGATAGGTCACCGAAAAGTAAATACATTTTGTTAGTATAGGTAGTCCTAATCAATTCCTTTAAGCTATCATCAACTATATCTACAGTCTCTGGATTTCTCTCATTTTGATGTAAGTTCGATTCATTCATGTGTCCCTCACCGCCGGAAATCTGCCAGGAGTCACTCCTTGTTTGTGCCACATTACACTGGCGATTACTCTTAGCCCTCGCCTAGCGCCTGAATGTCACATGCCCACCAACTTTCGCATGGTTCGTCATCAAACCACACCGTACTAGGAGAGAGGCCTGCTCTGATACCATTATTGTAACAGCCTGGCAACTTATATGGGATTGATGATTATCCCTACAAACCAACACAAGACTTTTCAATGTACTTTGTCCTCACTCACACACATCCTGGGAACTTTCCAGAAGGTCACCCATCCTATAATTTTCCCAAATTAAGCACGTTGAAAAGTCTTATGTTGGTTTGTGGGGACAGTTGTTAATCCTGAATAAGCTGTCGGGCTATTACATTAAGTAGTATTAGAGTGTATTTAGAAGAGTATGGAGGATTTTTAGAGGAATTCTGGTGCAAGGGGTCTTGCTTTGGCAAATCTCACTCAAGCAAGACTAAGCGTCCAAAAATATGATGTTTCAGGGCAATCTCGCTAAAGCGAGATGATTCTTGCATAAGCGAGACAGGATAAATTCAGCTCAATTGTCACTTCACCTAGGCGAGATGAAGTTCGCTCAAGCGAGCATATCAGCAAATGTTGGGCGAGACCACTTCTGCATATCTCACTTAGGCGAGATCTTTGTCGCTCAAGCAAGATGTTCGTTGCTCAAGTGAGTTGTTCCTCGCTCAAGTGAAAATGCGTGGGGTTGAGGGGTATTTAAGAGATTTTCAGCATGGAGATTTCATTTCATTCCAAACTCATGTTCCTCCACTGTTTTCTTTGAACTCTCTCTTCCTTTCTCTAAAGAAAAGCCTCAAAAACTCTGATTACTCTTCAAATCAGAGTTTGGACTTTGAATCTAAACAAATGCAAGTAAGTTTCTTCGAATTAAATTTTGTTTTCTCTGATCATTTCTTGTATTTTTTGTTCCTTATGGACATCTCTTAGTATTCAAGAGAAATTCCATAATTGATCTCTGATCTTCTTCAATATCTCTCTGAAAACTCGTCTTTGATGTAAGGAAAGCTCTATTTTATCGTTCTATTCTAATATTTATTTTGTGCTCACTAGAACACTATTACATGGACATTTTATGAAAATATATGGTTGAAATATTTATTTTGTAAATAATGGATGAAAATATTTTTGTTTGATTATTTAGATAGATTGGTTGTTTAGACTGAATAATTGTTACATGCTTATATGCATTATATGATGAGTGTTCAATGTGGAATACTATTTAAACTTGCTAAGTGATTATGATGTTATGGAATATGTTTGGATGAAATACTATGATAAAGTGTGATATCGATCTGAAATATTTAATAGTTGAAACTTTATTAAAAAGGGGGTATGAGTGGGAAAAATGAACAATTCGGAGAATGACTTTAAGTGTCAAATATGGATTGGATCTAGTGTGACTAGTTACAGAGATACACTAGGGGTAAAGAGTCCGGAGACGATAGAAATCTTTGGGAAACATAGGATGGTGAGCAACATTCGCGTATGTGTACACACTCTTTCTGAGAGCGAATGCGTCACATGGCCTCACACTTGTTTCCTGACTAGACTCCTGACTATGCCTTTGCTAAAGGGCTCAATTATTGTATACGTTGTATCCATGTGCATGGGCTAACTGGCAACTAGTTACCAAGTTGAGTAAAATCTTAAAAAATGCTAGAGGCATCGATATCTGTGATCACAGTGACTGAAAATGCATATTGAAATGAGAGAATGAATAATGTACCATCAATTGTTGAATTATGTATATATGAATATGTCTGCAATATGAATAAGTGTGAAAATAGATATATGGTATTTATACTATAAACTATGATTCTGTGATATAATGTTTTGTAAATGATAAAATATATGCTCATCCTTACTAATATTTTCAGGAAAATAGGATGACAGAGCATTAGGAAAGAGTTAGACTATTAGATAGCTTAGTAAATAATAGACTTAACCATGTATTTAATGAATATAAAAGATTATGTTATTTTAAGTTTGTTGTTCTTGTTGAAAATGAACCTAGGACCTTTGTTATGTTAGAGATGAATTTCTATTGTAGTATCCCTTTTGATTTTCCTAGGAGTAGAATACATCAGACCCTATGTATCTACATTTATAGTGGTATTGTTAGAACTCTAGCAGCCCTCACCTATCTATTTACCTATCATGAGCATGACTATCTTGGAAGATCATCCAGATGGACCTTCGAACGGGTGACTGACACAGAGGTCATAGCTGATTCAAACGATCATTACCTTAGATTAGACGATAGGAAGATTTTTTTTTATTATTTGTATAGTTGTTATGGGGGTCTTAGGCTTAAAATAAAAGTATTTATGGATGTCTTCAAATGTTAATTTTTTTATTAATTGCTTACAAAATGACAGGTTTGT